CCCCGATCCCGGGCGGGCGCTGGGCTCTTCGAAGGGCTGCGGGGAGCTGGCGTGGGCACCGCGCGGGCTGCCGAGGCCGCCCCTGCTGCCCCTGCTGCTTGGCTTCCTGGCACGACGCGGAAGTCAACAGCACCCCGGCCAAAAAAGGGAAGGAGACGGCCCCCAGTCTTAAAACCTGGCACCATGAAAACCACCAAAAATCGCAAAATACGTCACCTGCTTTCGGGGTGTGGGGCAAGGGAAGATGGCTAGTTCATGTTAGCGGAGCTTACAGCCCTTCACCTCACGCAGAGCTCCTGTTGCGTGTGGCATATTTGAATGGCATTGGTCAGGTGAGAAGATCACAGAATCATTTTGGGCTGGAAGGGACCTTAAAAATCCCTGAGCAACCTGTTCCAGTGTCTCACCACCCTCAGTGAAGAACTGCTTCCTGAGATGAAACATAGAATGGATTTGCACGGCTCAGTTTTTAAATAAATTGAACAGGAATGCACGTGCTACTCTTCGGGATCTTCAGTGTTTTCAGTAGGTTTATAGGTGTATAAACAGGAGGCAAGAAAAGAGGTTCAGGTAGTGTGTTACTGAGTTTTAGTTAGTGCATTAGCCAGGAAGAGGTCTCACGTGGGTTTCTCCCAGAGCAGAGTATGTGCTAACCTGTGCTAACAGCAGGGAAAAGTCAGAGGTGTGCTCAACAAAATGGTTTGTAGTCCAACCTGGGCGGTACAAATCACATTGAAAACTTAAACTTCAAATACATCAAAACAGAATCCTGTGTGTTACACATTGGGTATTTAAAAGAGAAGTCCCAGCCAAAAAATGGTAACAGTTCAGCAGAGGTCAGAGATTGCTCAGCAGTAGCTAGGAAACAAACTCCTCTCTTGGTATTTGTTTTATTTTTATAAAGCCCAACCAGTTAAAGTTGGGGTGTGAGGGACTGCCCTTCTTTCCACGAATCTGTGTAGATTCAAAACTAGGACTCAGATCTGTCTGCTCTGGTTTAGAAGAAAATGTGTTCTCAAGGAAGTCTCTCCCCTGCTCTGTAAGGGGGCAGAAACTCTGAACTGTGCTAGCTTACGCCAGAAGCAGGAGAGGTCTCGGCAGTGTTGTGGATAATAATGTGCAGCTCAGCACAAACAGATTAATTCTCCTTATGGGACAGATTTTGTGCTGATCTCCCTGCTACTGTGGCATTTTGTTAAATAGCACCACAGCTTGTCGGGGGACAGGCAGGCTACAGCTACGCAGCTCCCCTTAAACTTTGCTCCAACAGAGCAGAGGCTCTCAGACTTGCCATTTCACTGCCAGTTTTGTAGAGTGGCTGAATTTGAGTCCCACTTACAGTCAAGATCCTATACAAACAGCCCTTTTAAGCTGTGAGGATGATTTACTCCAGTTTTCCAGGTGAAACCTCTCCTGACACATCAGAGCAATCGGCAGGAGGTGCAGAGGGCCTTAAGACACTCAGTGTTCATTTTCAGACTGCCCACCTATTTTTCTGGCATTACTTCTTTAACTGAGGATCTTCCTGTTTAAAACAGAAAACATGAAGCCCAAATGCATATTCCCAGAATCAAAGGCTTCAACTTGTCTTCTTACTAGAATAACCCAAGAAAATGAGCTTAGACACCATATGCCACTTAAAGCAAGGAATGTCTCTCGCTTCTGTTACAGCTGTAATGTTGTTACTTACAATGTAGTTGTTTTGAATTTTCTCCAGAGTGGGCTATTTATTATCTTTTCTTTACTTTCTGAAGGCATCCAACTATAGAAAACCTGGCTTAAGTACAGCCCAGCGGAAGAAGAGTGGCTTGAAACCTGAACTTACAGAAGAACAAAAGCAGGAGATCAGAGAAGCTTTTGATTTGTTTGATACTGATGGATCTGGAAGCATTGACATAAAAGAACTGAAGGTTTTCAGACTTTCTTTACTTGGATGGAAAAACCTCTGGTCTCAAAATTGTAGCTGCTTTTTCTGTTTGTCCAGCCCTATTTATAAATAGTTTTGGAGTAGGAACAAGAGTAACAGCTTGTTGTCATGATGGAACTTGGGGTGTGCTACATCGTTAACCTGAGACAGCTCTGTGTGTGATACTTCAGAGTAGGCAGGCTTCTCTAGAAGGTGGATAGTAGCTCAGATAGTTCTGAGTATCTGAGCAGTAGAGGAACTCAAGGGTTCCTCTGTGTAGGTGCCCACAGTGCACATCTCAGTGGAACACTGCTTGGGGGAAGTAGACTCTTCTGTTCTGGGATAAATGTCAGAATGTAACTTTTTTTCTTCATCGGAACTAAATGCACACATTTTGCACACATTTAGGACAGATACAACCATGTTTTCATTTAGGTAATCAAAAAATTACCTAGTTTTTGTTTTAAAAAAGAACAAAACAGATCTGAGTTGCATTTCAGTAGCAATTCAGGTAGCATCTGTAGGTGTGCACATGCACACACAGGACAAGACGAGGGGAAAGATTATCCTCAGTTCTCTCCGTTTTTATGTGCCTCATCTTTTTTTAAGCACGAAGCTTTTATCTCAATTATCTCCTCACATACACATGCTCTACCTCAATTTTTGCCTGTGTAACCTAGAAGCATGACTTACCTAAGCCTGTAGCTTATGTCAGGATTTATCTGGAAGTACTTAAGCTTGGCTAAGGAGAGTGTGTTCTCCGAACACAGATTATACATGTTACAATATAGTTCTAAAAATGGACTGAAACATTTTAGCATTGACCATTTAATATTACGTTTTTCAATATAATGGATATTTTACAATAGAAAGTGTTCTGGCTGACAGGCAAAATGGAACATTTTCAGTTGTCCCATATCAAGAAACTGGTCAGAAAACAGATTTCAGTGAAATATTAGGCTTCTGGTGAGTTGACACCTTCCAGTAGAAAAGTGTTCAGCAAGAAAATTTCTACCTAATAACTAAGTATTGGTTTCCACTAGAGCACAAAGGAAGAACAAATGTTTACAGCTCAAATCCTCCTCTAGTTACATGTTCTTGAAACTTCAATCTCTGAGCTCAGTGTGCTGTAATCATCTGGCACACCAGGACTTTGAAATTACTAACAGACACACAAGCAGCAAAATCGTTGTTCTAGGCTGGTGAGATGCCTGAGCCTGGTTTTAAACAATGCTACTGTTAAGCTTTTGTACTACAGCCTACAGAGCTGTTTTTACAGGAATACTTTGCTTGTGCTCTGTAAGGCTCAGGTGGTTTGCTTTTCTTTCCCTCAGCTGGCACAGCAGTCAGTCTTTGCTTTGCTGAGGCTGAGACTCTTCTGGAGTATGGGACACTTCCCACCCTTTCCTGCTCCTCCCTCCCCACCATCTAGCCAGAAGTGCCAGGAGCTGTACTTATGGATTACTTCTATATCTGTGTAGTGCATTGTGCAAGTTAAGTCTGTGTAATTCTGCACCTATCAAACTTAATGAGTATTCTGCCCTTTATTTCAAATGGAGTGAGATCACATCCCTGGTCTCCAACCTCCCCTGCAGTCCCATTTTGATAATCCACTCCCTTTAGGAACTCTTAAACTGGAATCTTTACCTAATTCAGAGAAACAAAGTTTCTCTTGGTTTCAGAAATATAAAGGTCTTTAGATCCACATGGATTTAAAGAGAAAATACATCTGAGTTTTAAGAATATCAAACCTACACTATCACTGTTAGGAAAGATGAAACAAGCAGGTAAGAGACACAAAGATATTTTCATTGCAGTGAGTTGTTACTGCAGTTTTGGACAAGGAAATTAAAGAAGCTTTAGTGTGGCTGCTGACACTGGTGGCCCCCTAACAGAACTGCTTTCTGGTGCAGGTTGCGATGCGTGCTTTAGGCTTTGAGCCAAAGAAGGAAGAAATTAAGAAAATGATAGCAGATATTGACAAAGAAGGAAGTGGCACCATTGACTTCGAAGACTTTCTGGCTATGATGACACAAAAAATGGTAGGAATCCTTAACAGAAGTTCTTGTGACAGCATTAAAAAAAAAAAAAAACCTGAAAAACAGTATCTCAGTGGCAGGTGTTTTCTAATGAATGTATGTTTTACTCTTGTTTTAGAGTGAAAAGGATTCAAAAGAAGAAATCTTGAAAGCTTTCAGACTATTTGATGATGATGGGACAGGAAAAATTTCATTCAAAAACTTGAAAAGGGTTGCCAAAGAGCTGGGAGAAAACCTAACAGATGAAGAACTTCAGGTAAATTCTGATTTGCCAGAGCTTTTGTAACAGGCACAGACCAATCCTGCAGCTCCTAAGGACTGGGTGTAAATTTGTGGCTATGAAAAAGGGGTTGAGAAGTCAGAAAGATAAAGAGCAAACAAATACAGTTATATTTTCACATGAAGTGCTTCCAATTTGTTGTTGTTTTAATGAATGGAAGATCTTGTGTTTAGAGTCCAGTGCCTGATCAAGCATATGATGTTTTTTGTAGGAAATGATTGATGAAGCTGATCGAGATGGAGATGGAGAAGTGAGCGAGCAAGAATTTTTGAGAATCATGAAGAAAACTAGCTTATATTAGTATTTGTTGCCTTGCTGTACAGCTGTGCCAAAAGATAACCTAGAAAAGACTTAAAGTCTGGGCTTGTGCCTCCTGCATATTTTCTGCCATGTTAAGTCTGAAAGGACAGATTTTTGGTTCATTCTTTTTCAAAGTTAATTTGAGGGGGAGAGGGGGGAGGACAGGAGGGGAGGGCTTCAATAGCCAGAACTGTTAAAATGAGACATGCAGAGTGAAAAGGAAGGATGACCTGAACCTACAAGGTAGGGTCCCTTCCCTTCCCCTCAACAATTTTACTGATTGCCATCTGGGATAATGAATGCTGTGTTTCAACTATTTACCTAAAAGACATTTCACTTGAGGTGGGAAGATTCCCACTGCTGCTAGGAAAGGCCACTTGTGACTTTGCTAAGGCTACAGAAGGAAGGTACAAGCACAGTATTTTTATTCCTTTTGAAGTTTTTAAGGTTATCTTTTGGCATTTGTCTCCTGTTATTTTTCTGTGAAAGACTCTAAACCCAGATGCATATCTATCTGTATTTCTGTGTAAGCAACACTGTATTTCTGTATGTTTTCCCTTGGCAAGTTGGTTTTGGACCTAATGGGAAGCAAACAGATACCCTGATTTGGTTCTTCATCTGGAGCTGTGTGCCATCAGTAGATGTTCTTCTGTTTATCTGATCATCCGAAAAAGTTTACTTGATTGTAGCCTGCTTGGATTATCAAAGTTTATTGTATAACCAGCTGACATCTCGTGCCATTGTTCTTACTCCTAGGACATTACAGAGCTGCTGTTACACCAGGATTTTAGGTACCAAAAGTTAATTCTTGTGGTGTGTTAAATATTGTCTCTGGCTGTTTACACCCAAGTTGCAGGGAGGACTCCCATCTGAAAGGAAGGTACAGCTCACCTTGGACATCTGTGCAACATGGAATATCTTTAGGTACATGCAATTCAAATTCATTTAAGACATCACAGGTTTGTTTGGTTGATTTGTGTTTGTTTGTTTGTTTGTTTTGTTGGTTTTTTTTTAGGAATTCCTTCATTTTCTTGACTATTTCTTGCATATACTGTCAATCTGTGACTTCCTGGAGAGCCACATTTCCTTCTGTAATATGGTGACAGAGCAATGACACACAACATGGCATCTGATTGTGTGGTTCTGCAGCAGTTCATCCATTGGTCCCAATTAGACAATCAGCTTCAAAACTGCAGGGAAATGGTGTAATCCTAAATCACATCTCTCTCTAATGAGGCACCTGAAGAGTTTGTCACTGCCCACCAGCAAAGTGACAAGTGGGTAGCAGAATGCCAGAAGAGTTCCACAGGAAGAGGAGGGAAAGAACAGTACTTCAGTATCTGTTAAGATCTCTCTTTTTGTCAGAGAGCTGCTGTTGGTTGACAGCACTGAGAAGGTTTGTGCAAGAAAGGAGGAGCCAGCCCCTGGATTAGCTCCTTTTACAGCTGCCTCAGCTCTCCTGAGCTCCAAGGGCACAGCACAGGGAGAATCGGGTTCAGGAGAAGTGTTCATTCACATTTCTTCTCAGTGCAAGGATGTGGACCTGGCACATTCTGCCCCAGTCCTCCAAGTTCTGTACTTCAGACAACTAAGCAGACCCTCTAACCTGAACAGAAGTGGGCTTAAACCTGTAGGGTTCTCCAGGGATTGTGTAGGACCCTGGACAACCTAACAGACCTGTGAAGTCCCCTATTAACATGTTCAGTGGCAGTAGGTGTAGCCTATAGTACCATAAGCATTTTTAAATGTCTACTAACTTTGTATAAGTGTGAAATAAAACTGTTTTGCAAGTTAAGGACATTGTGTGCCTTATAATTTGGTGTGCTTAGGATGAAAACTAAATTTTCAAAAATTAAATTTTAAAGCGTTAAGTGGTTCACCAAGTACATTTTCACTTTTATTCTCTTTTAAGAGAGAAATTCTTAGGTGCAGACTAGTCTATCACATAATTCCTCTCCCTCTTCCACTATGCTGATTAAAAGTTTCTAGTACTAACCACTTAAGTTGATAAAGGGAAACTGGAAGTTCTCGTTGATTATGGGGAATCCCAGCATCTACTAGAGTGACTGTACTTATTTTAATGCTGCCACAGGAAGAGATTGATGATGTTGTTTACTTGTGATGCACGTCACTTCTCTCTTCCTGTTCTAATCCCATTACCTGACTTCTGCAGGTAGGAAAAAGACACAATCATTCCTACCTACAAGCAACACCCACAGCAGCCCACAGCACTGCCTGAATTATTTTCAGTGCCCTTGTGAATCCTGCCTGCCCCTTCTAGAATTTCTCTTTTACATTTCTGTACGTGGTGCAGGAAAAGAGGCCCAGCTGAGGCCAGTGGCAGAACTCGAGCTGGGTATGTGTGTGAGGAACAGGCTTTGGGAATTTCCTCCTTTTACAGGGTGAAATTTCCTCTCACTGAGAAAGTGACTCAGATCAATGACCTGGCAGGTACCTCTGCTCTAGTGCCTACTCAGTCAGCTTACCCTAAAAGGCGGGGTGTCACTACAAGAGACGGATCACTTGCACCCTTCCACTCCTCCTCCCATTTGCCTATTCTCAAAAATAAGAGCTGGAACAATTCCAGGAGACTTGGATTCAACTCCTTTGCACTAAAGCACCAAAAAGGAGGCAAAGCAGCGATCTGGGTGGCCTTGCATGAAAGGATCCATCCCTCAAGCCACCTGAATCCCTGTGATCACCACCGTGAGTGTTACGGACTGGTGCAAAAGGGGAAAGTGTCAGTCCCAACCCCGCTTTTAATGTTCCCTCCAGGCTCACCTGGGCAGCTCTGGGAAAGGCAGAGGGCACGAATCTCATCCTTCGCATCCCTTTTGCCCGTGATGCCGAGAGGGAGGCTGGGCTCTTACCTGGCATCTGCAAATTCCCCTCGGGTGGGTGGCTGCAATTCAGCGGCTGCAGCGCATGCATCCCGCTGACCTCCCCTCCTGCGGCGGCAGCGGAGCCCGGCTCTCAGTCTGACTGTTCGTGCTTGGCACACGCTGCACGAAAGGCAAAGGGGAACCACAGTTCGTATGTGACAACACCTAGACATCAAAGCGTCGATAAGGGTGATAGCTGCTTAGGAGGTAACTGCAAATGACTTCCCGTGAAAAGTGTTTTAAAATGAAAACGTCCTGAGCTTTCAATAAAATACAGAATAGTTCAAGAGAAAAAAAGTTACTTGTCATATTTTGGAATATAACTTGTAACTACACCACAATTTTAAACTAATCTTTGCTGTTATCTCCTCTGTGCAGCTTTAAGTTCTTTCCCATCTCTCAGCCCCAGAGTACAGTCCCACAATAAAGCACATCTTCACTTGCTGTTACAAAGAAAAAAAAAAAACAAAACAAAAACAAACCAAAATGTGATTATCTAGTGTGCAAATGTGTTTTTAAGTAATCTGAGCTGGCAACTTGAGATACTGGACTGTTGGGCTCTCTCACCACATCACAGCAAGCAGCAGAAAAAGGCTGGAACCTTGGAGGCCATTGGCTCCTTTGGGGCTATACCTCTGCCAAATGTGTGCGAAGCAGCGGGCTGGCCAGGCACAGGTGACTGCAGAAGACTGGAGGAGTCTTACATTGCTTGAGGTGCTCATGCCATGAACAGGCAATGAGTGCTGCACCCTCACTTCTATACATGCAAGGTGGTTTTCAGAGCAAGAAGCACAGGGTCAACTTGTCACATTGCAAAAAAATAATGGATTCTTTTCAGGTATGCTTAATCTTGGTAATTAAAAGACGGTGGGGAAAGCAACAGAAGAAACCTTTTGTGTACTTTTACACACCCAGAGTCCTACTAACAGAACCCAAATATTTCAATAAAGTGATGTGGCATTTAGCATTAAGATATTTAAATGGGTCATTTACAGTTTTGAAGACTAACTCGCATGTCCTCCAAAATGCCTGGTGAAGTCACACCATATATATGAAATGTTAAGTATTGATTCCTTGGAAACCTCCTCACTGATTCACATAAATCATATACTGCCACACTACACCTGCAAAACCACCCCTGGATAGGGTGTAAACGAGCAGATTTTGAGAAAAACTTGGGCAGTAGAAAGTGCTCTGAGCCATAACTCACCATTGCCACATTTGACACAAGGAAATGCTGGCAGAACACTTTTTTCTTGACATGGGTTAAATCTTTCTGTGACCAAAACAAAAACTCTACAGTACCACACTATTTAAATCTCTGCCATGCACTAGCTGGTACTTTTGGGAATCTTTGCAAGTATGTGGGCACAATGTGTTGCCTTTAGGTGGTGCAGATATCCATTCTCCCAAGCTAGCAATGTTAAAGTCAAATTGGGACCACTGAGATTGCATCCAGGTGTTGCCACTGGCCACCCTGCTCACTCAAAATTTATTCTCTTTGATACAATCTGTTTTAAAAATATTTTTGTTTCCTTATTGATAAAAATCAATGAAGATGAGAAAAATACTGCTCCTGAGATATTTTAAAACAAAAGCTTTGTTTCAAAACCTAGTTACGTATATTAACAGAAACTAGCTGCAGCTGTCTGACACATCTCACAAAAATGAGGCAGGGAGAGCAAGCCATCAGATAGTTAGAGATGTTCTTCATTAGGGGTGTTCTTCAGACCTTCAAGATGAGGAAGCAGGCAGGAACAACAAAGAACTGATAGATTTGAGTCTCGCTAGAGGGCATCCAGTTACTAACATGTAAGATGAGTGATGCTCATTTCCCTCCTCTGTGGCTTTTAATGACGATCGAAAGTAGGCTAACAAACACCTTCCAGCTGGGGCTTGAAATATGCGGTTGGATACTGAATTATTGTTTTCTGAAAAAGAACACAAGGCTTCTCACACAACTCAAGTGCAAAATGCTGTAATTATTAGTTGGTTGTTCAAAGCTAAACCCCCAAACCACACTTTCTGAAACTCCCACTCTGTATCATTAATCGCAGGCACGCTCTCAGGGGAGCAGAGAACTGAACTTGCCTTTCACAGAGTCCCCCTGAGTGCTCTG